GAAAATAAACCAATAAAATGTGCATGCAGCAGTGGACCTAAAGTATAAATTGCCACAATTTACACAGAGGGGCCAATTACAAGTCCAACACAGTTCCTGATTCAGAAAGGTTCTTCCTTGTTTACTGTTAACAGTAAATAGCTTTGAGAAACAAAGGCTCCAACTGGTGGATCCTTTGGTGATGAACCATTTTTCAAAAGAAATAATGGTGGCAGCAAGCGATGAGACGTCCAATGTTTGATTATCACGCTTCAACTCAACCGAACAGCTAAAGGTAGACATGTTAAAAAACGGGAATTAAAACTTTCCTGTTGTGTCCAACCTCAGTTCTGCTGCTATAACTGCAATAAGGGCAGGGATGAGCTGGTGACGCTGTAGTACCAGACCAGTTCATTTTAGTTTGGGCGGCACATGAATGGGACTTTCAAACTGGGACCTTGCAGGTGTAACTGACAAAAACATTCAATATAAAGACCACAGTCAGTCTCTGAAAATGGGCATGGGAACTTAAACCTGTTTTGCTTTGATGATTTTCTACTTGACACAAATGATACCCTTGAGCAAAAAGTGAGAACTGTAGCCTCGGTTCCAGTGCTGACAGCTCATATTAGCTTCTCAAATAAGTGAATGGCGTCAGCATATCATGCAGGTGCTGTCTCTGTCATCAGATTAACACTCCTCTACATTTCTGTCAGGAATTAAAATATTCTTCAGTAGGAAAGTACAAAAAAAGTACGTCACTGCACGCTATGAAAGAGGATATGGAAAATCAAAGCAAAAACAGTGGTTTTCTTGTTTACTAGATTCAAGGGCAAACTGTGAGGTAACACAGTAACTACAGTAAGTGTCTCTCCATCAAAGTACGGCATAGTCATGCTTTCTGGCACAGTTGATGAAGTAGCTGGAGAAGGAAGAAGCAGAGAGGAATGGTGGGAGATTTTTTTATTTAAGATGCAAGTGAACCAGTGGATAATAGTTTAAGAGCATGTCAGCCAGTTATTGATGATTTCTGAACATGAGGGGGTGTCATGTCTGTAAACCATGATGGAAAACACATTCAACAGTCTCACACACACCACTAGTCAGAAACACATAGACTGGTACATGACCTACAGGGAAACAAATACTGAACCCACAAGTATAAATACAGACAAACTTCCAGTCCTGTACAACAGAGGGGAAGTTCCAACAGAACACAAAGATCAAGAGTGAAAAACATCTGCAGATTATTGACATTGGTCAATGATTATGAGGTAATGATGTTTATTTTAAGTTTAACATCCTGATTTCATAACTCCAATAGTAATTGGAGTATTTGCAGCACATATTGACTTGACCTTTGTAATTATACCAACATGTTCCTTTTTGAAATTTAGTTGTGTGTGTTTGCTAGTTTGTCTTTGATTTAAAGTTGCAGCATTAATCATCTCCTACAAAGACAGTATGTTTGTTGATTGTTTGTAGTGTGTTTGTTTTGTTGTTTTTTTTGTCAGCAGGATTACGCAAAAAATGATTGTAGGAATTTTCCACGAAACTTAGTGGGTGGGAGGTAAAAAAAGAACCCGTTTTAATTTGGGGCAATTCTGGACAAAGGGATGAATCCAGACATTTTTTGTCACTTTCCTCAACTTTTTTTTTTAATTCATGGGACTTGATGAAAGAGGCATAAGGAAGGTGATATTTATGAGTGTGTGCAGTATAGTTTGGCTTGATTAAATGTAAGGGGATCGTTGGCCCTTGGCAAGCGGTATGTGCTTCTACTGACTTCTAGTTCTCTATATTCCATTCAATTACATTTTATTTGTATAGTGACAAATCACAAATTCATTATCTCAAGGCACTTTACATAGTAAGTTCAAGACATTGCGTTATTATAGAGAATCCCACCAGTTCCCTCAATGAGAAAGAACTTGGTGAATGTGGAGAGAAAAACAACCTTTTCTATGCAACTTACATGTTTTCAATGCTCCAAAGATGCTGATGTTTTTGTTGACATATTTGTTTGTGTTTTCTTAAACTGCAGTGTATGGAGCTTTCCTATGCACCCTACTAATTAATACATGATGCTACATTTAAAATATATAGGATTGAATTCAACATGAAAAAAGCTAAAGCTTCAAATACATCCTGATTCCTGGATGTTCACTGCTGCATTGGTTCCTTGGAAAGGTATAATTCTTTCATTTGATCATTTTAAGAGTATGATTTTTTTCCTGATGCAACTTTTAAATGTAATAGGTGACATAAATCAGGTTTTGTGATCATCAGCACTTTATGAGGCTTTTGGGAAACGAGGCCTATTGCAGAAACACGAGAGCAATGCTGAAAGAAAACAAAAACAGGGAAGACTTTGTCTTTTACAAGATCACCGTCTATGTAGGATAATGTTTTATGATGGCCACTGATGCTCTGTCAGCATCTCAACTCCAACAGAGCATGTGATAAGAAGCTTTTATCTGTCCATGTTTACACAGCCATAAACACACAGGATCTCGCAGATTTAACTCTGAATCAATTTGTCTTGCAAAGCTCACTGTTACGAGTGTCGCAGATTGAAATCTAGACTGCTCTCTGCCTGAAGGGGACAGACAGCCTATCAGTGCATAGTTTCACACTGCCTCTCAGACTCCCACAGTGTGATGCGCTTCAGGGCGCAAACAAACGAGAGGCTTAGAGTTACAGTAAGCCTCATATCTGTCACTGAAACATCTCTGTCATTCTTAACAATAACAAGCTGCTGTATTAACATTGCCTGTTTAAACATCCATGCTGGCTTTGCAGCTGTTTGTGTATTTTATTGTGTAAAAATGCACTTATGCAGTTGAGCATTTGTCATTAGTGAACTTTGCTTCAGAGAAGACCGGCCTCATAAATGTTGAAATATGTTCATTTAAATAAACGCTACTTGACATCAGAATTGTTCTAACTCTTCAGTTGAACTACTTGAACAAGATGAAATCTAGAAAAGTGCCACAATCGTGTCAAATTATCTGAACCTCCTGACTTGGCCAGCACACTCACATCAGCAGCCATCAAAGAGGTCAAGCTTTCAATTCTGTATCAGTTAACACACAAATTGCTTCCCCGATCCCTCCCAGATTGTGTTTCAGTTCGTTCTCCTGTCACAGCGCACGTGGACACCATTGCTCATTCTTCATGGGGAGCGCTGACAGGTAAAAATGGCGACAGGTGAGCTCAAACATCCCGACAAACTCTGCATTTCACCCCTGGGCAGAATCCACCCCTCACACATCTCTTGACTCTTCGTGGACGTGGAGACCTTAAATCTGAGGTGCAGAAACCCTTCTTCTGCCCCGCAGCTGTGGGTGTAGGCTTCTCCGTGTGAAAGTAAGAACTTTGGTCCTGTGTTTCTTTTTAGTGATATGTTAGCAATCATCTCCCCGGGGCCATTTTAACACGTGCTACTTCACCTGTCTAGTTATTCATGAGACTAAAGGCTCAGGCCCTTTTTACTTGACAAGCACTCAGGAATATGGCTGATGGGTGAGTTGCTGGCTGTGCTGTTAAGTGTTTTGGATTATGTTTTGGCTTTGTGTGTTAATCTTACAGATTAGCTTCTGATGATTGAAGTTGCACTGGCTCACAAGACAATGACAATATATATATTTTATGAGACTATAGGTGATACACATTGTTTGCCAAAGATCACTAAAGTTATCTTAAGAAGTAATATCACTCAATTATTCTATTTGTGCAGCATCAGGACAAATCAGCAAGGCTACCAGAGTATATTGTGTGGGATTACAATTTAAATTTTGTAATTAGATTACAGTTACCTATCCAAGCAATGCTGTGATACTATAATCACATATCAAATTGTTTGCCGTCTAACTAGTGGGTTATTGAATAGGGTTGATATTTTTTTCTCGGTGCACCCATAGGACAGATTAACGCAGGGCGACACATATGACAAAGAGCTTTGACACATAGCTTTGGTAGTTTACCCTCCATTTTGGGAAGCATTCATTTGAGGAAAGGACATCCCTGGACAGCTACATGCAGTCAGTCACCAATAAAAGACACAGACTATAAAAGACCATTATAGTCTTTTATAGTCAATTAATGTCTCCTACAAGTAATCTGCTTTTTAATGATGGCTTGTTTATTCAAACTCAACTACACACCTGTAAAGTTTCCCAACTCTTACACTGTGACAACAACGGTCAACAATCAGACAGGCAGACAACACTCAGATCCCTGTCTGTGGCAGTTCCCACTATTGTACAGTACACAAACACATAATCACACAGACACACAAGGTGAAAACATCAGCCACGCTGTCAAACACTGCTGAAGATATAGGCCACACATATATGGGAGTAGAATTACTCACATGGTGCTTTTTAAACAAGACATTATTCATTAGTTTGTAAGAACCAGTTGATTTTATCAAGATGTCTATATTGACCTCTCCGAGAAAAGACATCGACTTTTTGAAGATGGAAGACTGACTGAGTGTATGAGGCCTATAATTAAACTTGCTTGTGGTTAAGTAACCTTTACCTGCACAAAATATTGAAAAGCCATGAGCCCTGTATTTGTACTTAATTGTAGTATTTAGATATGCATTTGTTAAAAATTGAGTTTCATTTTATCCAGATTTAGAGATGGAAAACATGGAATTTGTTCTTCAAGACAATTAAACTTGTTGGTTTTAAAGATAGGAAACACACAAAGACTTCCTACTGCCTAAATGAGATAAGACACAGGGCTAAGCAAAATTGAATTTTTCTTTTGCACAATTTGAAATAAAAATTTCACTTTGTTACATCTTTTTTGCTGAAAAAGGTTCCATGGTGTTTTTTTTTTACTGTCAGGGGCGTGTGTGTGTGTGTGTGTGTGCGTGTGTGCGAGAGAGAGAGAAAGAGAGAGGATGAACAGCCTGTCTGTCAGGTGTTGGTACTCACATTAGTCACGTAAAACAAAAAGGATTCTGGGAAGTGACAATGGCCAACACAAAGAGCATCCAGACTCCACTCAGTGTCACCCGATCTCTCCTCTGTGTGTGTGTGGGTAGACAAGTGTGTGTGGGTGTGTATGTGTGTGTGTGGTGGGGGGCTTTTTTCTTTAGGGGGTGAGGGCGCCTCATTGGCTGCCATGCTAGGGTCAAGCTGAGGTCAGGACATGTGTGATGGATGGATCTCTGTCTCTAGACCACGGCCCTTCTCCCATGCAGTCGTCTCTCCTCCTCTGGGCCTCAGAGCTGCTAAAGAGTCCCGGCTGTGCTCTCCCCTCCTCTCCTCACATCTCTTTGTGTTTGCTCCACGCTGCCGAGCACAGGACTGCTTCAGCTGACAAACATGGAGCTCAAAGAAAACTGCAGACAACTCTCTGAGGTGAGTTCTGTTGTGTAGCCGTGGACGAACCGCACTCCAGTCAGCCTGTAACCTCCACCACTTAACCCCCTCTTCTTCTTACCTATCTCACATCCCAGCTCCCATCATCTAACCAGCATCACCGACATACGCAGAAGCAGCAGGACAGGCCGCCACTGACCACATGATGTCACCTCTCCGCTCCTCTCCTTCCCCTCCTTCTCTTCCTCCATCATACTGTCAATCCCCTCCATCGGCACCGTCCCTTTATCGGCACATGGAGATGCACATCTGTCGATGTAGGAATTCATTTTGGCTGCCAATCACAACACGGCAGTGGTCAATGAGCACAGATGTGCCAATACCTCAACGATCCTGATGAGTGACTTCTGTCTGTCTGCCTCTGCGGGCTGCCAGCACTTTCAGTCTGCTGCTGAGACTCAGTTTGACTTAGAGAAGAAACTGTTTTTCTTACTCTCTTGTTCTGGTCTTCACTGTGGCCAAGTAAGGCAGTAACATAGCTGATCATAAACAAACCATGACTACGATGTGTGTGTAAAGACGCAGTTGGATCAATGTAGGTGTCACTGCAGAGGCCTCCACTGATATTATAGTTCCTATCTCTGCACCCCCATTTGCATAATGTTCCTGGACTTCTCTATTACAATGGAGAAATGAGGCTGAACCATAAAAGCTTTGGTCAATAAGGTTTAATGGCAATGCCAAATGGATATTTACCAAGGGTGGTGCAGTGGAATAGTCTTCGAAACTTGTGTGCTTCCTCCATTTTCCTCTTACTTAATAATTCTGTTGGGGGTTTATAGTCTTTCCCTTTGTCTTTGGAACACACATACACACAAATAAGCCTCTGGGAAAAATGAAAACATAAGACATATAGGTGAGACTTCAGAGGATGAGACCTCGGTGTGACACCGCTGTGCTGACAGCTTTTGAAATCTATTTCCTCTCCGTTTCTCTCACTGCACTGTGAGCCACTGCATGCATGTGCAAACTCTTCTCTGACCTTATAGTATCCCCAAGCACTTGTATTTGCATTTGATTGCCAGCACAAATAACGTCTGTGTATATCATTGCATTTCTCTGTGTGAAAGTGTGTGTATGTGGTTTCCAGATAAATACCTGTACCCTTTGAGCTGGTGGCCTGTGAATCATGGTGTCATCTTAGTTTCCTCTTCCTGTCTCACAAATCATCTCGCTGCAGCCACTGATGCTGTTGGAGAAAACATGTCACATTATGTATTTTATTGCGAGCTGCTTGTTATTTTAAATCCTTATATTCAGTCTGGAGGAGCCCATGTATCATATTACATCTCAGTGATTTTCAGAGGGATCCTAAAGTTTTTTGTCATTTAGCATTTAAAACTTAAGCTTTAACCATCTGAAGCATGTTGTTCTTCTCCTTTATAAAGTTTGATGGCAAAAATATTTGACGAGGTGAAATGGTTCCTAACAATGTCCAAAATGCAAANAATCCATTCTGCATCAGTTTAGCATTTCTGTTCCATTTTACTTCTCTGGTGAAACAAACTCACCACAGATAATATTCACAGCACATAAGCTCTCGTGGTTTTCCACGCTACACTACTGCTGTGAGACTCTGGTGTTTTCCACAATAAATCCATTGAGCTGAGGTCTGTGTAAAAACAATGATTGTATCTGGAATCAATCCCCAGAAGCCAGTGACTCAATTTCTAAAGTTTACCATGAGAGATCAGAGAGCTACCAGCTATGACGTCAATACTAGAATCAAAAGAGCATCTAAAAAAAACAGAAGCATTCACAATACTCAGTGTTTGGGAAAAAAAACTATATTAATCTGGCCCGTGGAGCAACACAACACTGGAACTGCTGTTGTGTTGGTGTTTGTTCTCTTACAGAGTTTCTTTCTGTCTGTGTTGTATTTCAGAGCCCTTGATGCTGAAGTGTGGTGACGCTGAGGGGAGCAATTTCAGTGGATCACTGTGAACTCACACACACACACACATACATTCATTGTAGAGCCTTTTGGATACAAGTCTTTCACAGGAGACAAATGAGAGGCTACCTGCTGACTGCAATCTTTCTGCTGCCCTTGGTGAGTTGTATGTGTGCATGCATCCACTGTGTGTGTGTGTGTGTGTGTGTGTGTGTGTGTGTGTGTGTGTGTGTGTGTGTGTGTGTGTGTGTGTGTGTGTGTGTGTGTGTGTCTGTACAATTAATCCAATCATCGATTTGGTAAATTATTTTCAACAAGCCCATACAAATGATTAAATCTTTTAAGTTAACATGCGTAATAATTAAAAGGTTGTAGTTATCCCTCCAGTTCTTCTGGAGAATATTCAACTTAAAATACAAATTAATGTGTTTCAAATATACATTCACTGTTTACCTTCGTTTCTGAAGAACAGTGTAATAACTCTTTCGGTTTCAATTTTATAGATTAGAATTTAAGGAATTACTGTCGAAAAGTAGTTTCCTCAATTTGTGCCAGGCCTGTTCCAATCACATGGCACAAACGTCTGGTTGGCACCAGGCCCACGTCTACTTCAGGCACATCAAGGACGCGCAGATGAATTCATTTCTGCGTCACCTTCTTAAGGTCGAGAGCTTTAAACGTCCGTCCTTCTTTTCACAAAGCCCTAATGGTTTGTGTCAAACATCTGTCATCGTCCGGGTGTTTATTTGAGGGCCTTAATGGGAACCATCAGCCGTGCACGCAGGGCCAGACTCTGGCGGTACAGGGACCAGAAACCACGTCCAAATTTCACATGGCTGAGGTCATTTCATCGCTTAGTGCCGAGTGTGGAAGTGTTTTGATCAAACCGTCCTCATGGGGCTGGACTCTGTGGCTGCGTGTTTGTCCAGAGCGGGTCTGTAAACTGGTGTTCAGGTTTGGGTGGTGCTGGGACAACAAACTCGAAGTGTGACCGAAGGGTGACCCCGGGCTTTTCTTTTGAGGATCAGCTGCGTTTCGAATTCCAGTGTGTGGCTCCTGCAAAGCGCACAGGGGCCTGAGAGAGGACTGTGGAGAAGGAACTTCTCAGAATTATTGTTTAAGGGTTTATTCAAAGAAGAAAATGCTAGAATGTATTTAATACAATCAAACATACCGTTTAATTAACGTTTCAATGAAATACGAAAGGAGATGGAAAAAGGTCATTCACGCTTAAATAGATTTAACATATAGAATTTTGTTCAGATTAGACACGAAAAATAACTTTTTGTGGGCTTTTTGGCTAAATTTTTGTCAGTCCTTATTGCACAGAGAGAAATGTGCAATTACAGGCAAAATAGTGGGACACCAGATGTGTTGATTTAGAGGGACAGCTGTGGAAATATTACAATTTGGCTGCTGATTGACATTTTGTTACTAATCCAACTCGTGAAAAGGTTATTATATAATACAAATACCCACATAATGTCTAACACCACTTTTGGTATTTTTTGATATTCGATGAAAACGAATTTGTCACAAAACAAAATGAAACTACAAGCTGTTAAAACTTCAGTAAAACGTTTCCTTTGTCTTTGTCTGACTCTTTGTCTG